AGAATTGTATTCCTCTGATTGTTCGGTAGTTTCATTCCCTTAGTTTATTCGAATGAAAATACCGAACAACCAGACCTCCCCTGTGTGAAGTGTGTCCTCAATTACCCATTGCAACATTGTTGTGAACGGGTAATTGACTAGTAAGTAGCCGTCGGCCATTTTAAAACTCCCGAACAGTGGTGTTTTGCCGTCGAGTGTCTGGAACTAAAATCGGACACTCGAGTAGGCGAACACCGCTGAGACCTCCACAAGCCCGGTCCGTTCGGTTCCAAACTACCGAACGGCCCCTCGTTCGGTAGATAGAAAGTACCGAACGAGGGGATTCAGGCGAACCCTCCCTAGCCTCTATAGCTAGAGGCTTTCGTGTATTTTGTTCCCTTATGCCAGGACCGACCGCAGGGCCCATTCGCATGGAACCTCATTCGGCTGTCTCAGTTAGTGCGGTCGGTCATTTTATTCCCTCCATACATTTCCCGAACCCCTGGTCTGATCTGGGTGATTTTTGGATATGTTGTTCACCCAGATCAGGGCTATCCGGGGATGTAGGATTTAAAGAGGTACCCCTACGTTTAGGGGTACATCCAGAAACGGGGGGTGTGACAGACCCATCTGTCTGGATTACAAATGCTTTGTTCGCCTGTTTTGCCGGTTACATGAATTTCCCCATTCGTATGCTTTATTCAAGGGAATGTCGGTTTTGTCGAACGGAACTACCGAACGGACGGCCACCCAGAAGAGAAGTGTGCTGCTGTTTAACCTATTGATCCCAATTAGAACGTTGCGGTTAACCACAGACACTTCTCAATTAAAACCGAATGCCGGGTGGTCGTCGTTCGTATGTCGACCACGAGGCGGCGGCCATTTTGTCCATGCGAACGACCAGCGGTGTTCGACGATTATTTCATGGATCTGAAAACGGACACTTTTTCAGCCAAACACCGCTGAAGCCGTCGACCTCCCCTTCTCAATCGACAAAAGTATACGAATGCCAGCCGTTCGGGAGATTCAACCACACGAATGGACTTAACCCAGATAGCCGTCCCATGGAGTCAATTGCATACCGAAGAACTGAAAGATACTTTGACTCCATGGCGATTGAACTGTGCGAATGGGATCTGAGCGCTATTCTCCAATAATGTGCCCTCAGATCCAGGCTATCTGGGGATATGCAATACGAATGTAATATGTTCGGCAGTTGTGAAGTTATGGATTTTCATGTGTTTTTGTGACTTGTGTTTAAAATGGCGATTGCCTCTGCTCGGGGAGATAATTGAGTTACTTCCCAATTATCCCTCGAGCAGAGGGGAGGGAACTGTGATGCATGCTGGGAATATTGTGGGGGATGTATGTCCAAAATGTCCCCATGTCCCTCTGTGATTTCAGTCTCCCATTTGGTCCCCTAGGGGAGTGTCCACCAAGTGGGAGACCTGCATAAATACCGGGCAGGTAGCCCACAGTAAATCAGTTCGTGTTTTACCCTCAAAGCGGAGCTTGGTCTCGTTATTGGGGGGGATTTTATTACCGGCGCTTAGAGACTGCTTATTGGAATTCTTTGCCGCTTGGGAGATATTAGCGTTCGGCTAATATTGGCAGTTCGTGGATTTGGAGCTCGTGAAGGGAAATAGCCGTACAGGTACCGTTCGGGAGTTTGGAGTGTTCCCTAGCTGGCGATTCGCATGGTTTTAATATACACGCTACCAGCCTACATTATTGCGAACGGGGAGCATTCACTAAACGGCGGTTTGGGCATTTATTACTGGATGTACCGTAACAACTGGTGGCAAGCGACGGGATGATCCTCAACGCCCAAAGAGACCACTACAACCAGGACTAAATGGAATTACAATACCAAAACCTGAGGAGAGCTACCCTAAAGGATTTATTGGAGCAAAGAGGGGGACAAGCCAGTAACCTCAGGAAGAGGGATATTATTGCGTTATTGCTGGAAATGGATGGAGTACCAGCGGCAGAGGGAACCAATGGACCCAGTGCAGCTGACAGAACCCCCGAGGAGGCAAGCTTTGACCGGGCGGTAAGAATCAGGCTGGCACATTATGGTCCCAACCCGACTACAGAGACCATTGACCGGGTCATGGCAGCTGTGGAGGCCAACCTGCTTCGCCAAAGCGGTGCTGCAGCAGCCCCAGTCACAGCAAACCCGGGAGATAGGAAAAAGGTACCATTTACTGCGTTTAAAGCCTTCAGTGAAACAGAAGGAGAGATTGATGGGTACCTTGCTGATTTTGAGCGGCAATGTGCCCTGCACAAGGTACCCCTGGAAGACTGGGTTACTATATTGTCCGGCAAGTTATCAGGCCGGGCCAGCGAGGCTTTTCGGGCCATTCCTGATGAGGAGATTGGGGATTATGTGGCCGTCAGGGAAGCTTTACTCTCCCGGTATGCCGTTACACCTGAGGCGTACCGGAGGAGGTTCCGAGACACTGTCAAGACCTCTGGGGACTCATACGTGGAATGGGCATGTAAGGTGCATCGCACAGCCGCCCACTGGATGGCGGGGTGCCAGGCTGTGTCCGGAGAAGAGGTGCTGCAGATGTTTCTTTTGGAACATTGCTTTGATAAATTGCCAGCAGGGGTCAGGGAGTGGGTAAGGGACCGTAATCCCTCCACTCTGCACGAAGCAGCTCGCCTGGCGGATGAGTATACTGACGCCCGCAAACTGGACAGTCTCATCAGCAAGGCTCCCGCCAGAGTGGAGTACAGGCCAACAGCCCCACCAGCAGCCAACCTATACCAGCCTCCAATGCATCGCCCAGCAGCACCTCCTCCATCTGCCCCGTACCAACAGCCACCTCGGTTCAATTCATGGGAGTATGCCCAACCCATTCGGTGCTACCTGTGCAAGCAACTAGGGCACAAGCGACCCGAGTGCCCGATGAACAGCGCCAACCAGAACCAGTCCTGGAGGAGACCAGCCGGCGGCAATCCACGACCTCCCACCCCAGCCGCTCACTGTGTAGAGCATGAGGCAGACCCCGTTCAGGCTGCCCACCGGGATAACAGGCAGCACCACCGACAGTGTGTCAAAGTCAACGGGAAGGAGGTCACTGGTCTACGGGATACCGGGGCAACCATGACTTTGCTCCAGAAGCACCTGATATCCGAAGCCCAACATACAGGGGACACGGTCGCAGTGCGAGTAGCCGGGGGTGCCGTGTTTCGTCTGCCCGTTGCCCGGGTACATTTGGATTGGGGAGTGGGCGCCAGACATGTGAATGTGGGGGTCATGAAGGACTTACCAGCGGATGTTCTCCTTGGCAATGACTTGGCGCCCCTTGTTTCCGCCTACGCTCCCATGGGTCCTGCTGAAGTGGATGCTGTCACGACCCGTGCCCAGACCCGTGCCGCTGAGACCGGCCCACCTGCTGCTGAGACCCAGGTAAGACTCTCTCCCCCGACTTGTACCTTAGACCAGGCCCCTTTAGGCTGGGATACCCCAGAGATGTACGGGAAGGAAACCAGGGAAGACCCGACGCTAGCCAAGTACAGGGCCAGGGCCGATTCTGGGGGAGAAGGAGTAGATGGGGAGCACTACGAGTGGGTGGGGGATAGACTATACAGGATCCCGAAACCGTCCCAGAAGCCGAGTACCCCTCCGCAGAATCGACAGCTAGTGGTGCCTGCAAAATACCGGCAGGAGATTCTGCGGATTGGGCATGATGTGCCATTAGCAGGCCATCTAGGTTCCCGCCGCACAGCTCATAGGATCACACAGAATTTCTTCTGGCCCAATTTTAACCGAGATGTGCAGGTTTACTGTAGCACGTGTGACACTTGTCAATGGGTAGGTAAGCGGGGGGATCACCCAAAAGCTAGGAACTGAAAGAGACTTTGACTCCATGGTGATTGAACTGTGCGAATGGGATCTGAGCGCTATTCTCCAATAATGTGCCCTCAGATCCAGGCTATCTGGGGATATGCAATACGAATGTAATATGTTCGGCAGTTGTGAAGTTATGGATTTTCATGTGTTTTTGTGACTTGTGTTTAAAATGGCGATTGCCTCTGTTCGGGAGATAATTGAGTTACTTCCCAATTATCCCTCGAGCAGAGGGGAGGGAACTGTGATGCATGCTGGGAATATTGTGGGGATGTATGTCCAAAATGTCCCCATGTCCTTCTGTGATTTCAGTCTCCCATTTGGTCCCCTAGGGGAGTGTCCACCAAGTGGGAGACCTGCATAAATACAGGTAGCCCACAGTAAATCAGTTCGTGTTTTACCCTCAAAGCGGAGCTTGGTCTCGTTATTGGGGGGGATTTTACTACCGGCGCTTAGAGACTGCTTATTGGAATTCTTTGCCGCTTGGGAGATATTAGCGTTCGGCTAATATTGGCAGTTCGTGGATTTGGAGCTCGTGAAGGGAAATAGCCATACAGGTACCGTTCGGGAGTTTGGAGTGTTCCCTAGCTGGCGATTCACTAAACGGCGGTTTGGGCATTTATTACTGGATGTACCGTAACAGGGGGAATTACTGTACTGGATAAGGGGATTATGATGCTGGCTGAGGGGAGGGGATGTGTGGGAGGTTACCAGGACAGGATTGGCTACTGTATTAATGATTGTAAATCCCTCCCTTGCACGGGAGCATGCTTTATAAGGCCAGTGTGGATTAAAGATTTCAGTTCTGCTCCTGAAACTGTGTGTCGTCCAGTTATTGGGATTGCTGTTGGGATATTGCTGTTATTTTACCTGCTGGAAACCTTGCCTGTGGATTTATTATTTACTTGTTCCTGAGCCTCACTTGGATTATAAGCGGAGATAACCTGGGGAATATTGCATCTCCGCTACAATGTATATACGTAGTGGGGAATCGTGATGCATCATACTTACATAGAACTAACCCAATTACCACCCAAATAATGACAGGCAACGTAGTATGTATGAAACAGGCCACAGCATTTATTATTAGAAATGGTAAATAAAGGGGAGGTTAAGATCTGAAACTTGACCACCTCATTCCACATACTTAAAACGTAACCACCTCAAACTTAATTGGCAAGGACATACCCCCCAGCTAGCTGTGCGGGCAGGAGGGAAGCTGTTTGCTGGCCCAAATCCCAAGTGGCACTGAGGTAAGAACACCTCCCCACCAAACTCACACACCACATAATCCCACCCACACATTCCTACACAACCAATCACAAGCATCTATCCCCACACTCCTACATGTGCCCTTGTCCGCTTAGCTGCGCTATCTCCCCAGGGCCTGACATTTGATTTAATTTTCGCAGGTGGAAAGGACTTACTCATGTCTATTTCCTAGTACATTGCATTTAAATGCTGTCGAAGAGCAATCAATAAAGTGGTGAAATCAGTCTGACTGGAATCCCTCAATGATTAAGCAATGCAACACGGGGACTACAGGCAATCAGGTTGTAGCCCATGGATCAGCGCAGCTAAGAGGAATAGGCCTTGACAGAGCCAGGAGGTAGGCATAGCAGCCACAGGAATTTAGTGACAGCTAGCATGCTGGGTAGGGCGGAGCCATAAGGGGAGTATTTATACCAGCCATTATGTGAAGTGGCCATTTTAACTGAACCTAAGCTTACCTGTCAGTTGTGAAAGCTGCCTGCCCTGGAGGGAGAAGGCAGCATGGAGGCAGCATAGCAGAACAGGCAGCATGGAGAACAGGCAGCAGGGAGAACAGGCAGCATGGAGGTACAGGAGAGGCTGGAATGAGCTGCTACTACATGATCACTCCCATCAGCAGCATGGAGGCAGCATAGAAGAACAGGCAGCATGGAGAACAGGCAGTACTGAAACAGGAGACAGCATGGAGGTACAGGAGAGGCTGGAGTGAGCTGCTACTACATGATCACTCCCATCAGCAGCATGGAGAACAGGCAGTACTGAGACAGGAGGCAGCATGGAGGTACAGGAGAGGCTGGAGTGAGCTGCTACTACATGATCACTCCCATCAGCAGTATGAAGAACAGGCAGTACTGAGACAGGAGACAGCATGGAGGGACAGGAGAGGCTGGAATGAGCTGCTACTACATGATCACTCCCATCAGCAGCATGGAGGCAGCATGGAGAACAGGCAGTACTGAGACAGGAGACAGCATGGAGATACAGGAGAGGCTGGAGTGAGCTGCTACTACATGATCACTCCCATCAGCAGCATGGAGAACAGGCAGTACTGAGACAGGAGACAGCATGGAGGGACAGGAGAGGCTGGAATGAGCTGCTACTACATGATCACTCCCATCAGCAGTATGGAGAACAGGCAGTACTGAGACAGGAGACAGCATGGAGGTACAGGAGAGGCTGGAGTGAGCTGCTACTACATGATCACTCCCATCAGCAGCATGGAGGCAGCATAGCAGAACAGGCAGCATGGAGGCAGCATGAAGAACAGGCAGCATGAAGAACAGGCAGCATGGAGGCAGCATGAAGAACAGGCAGTACTGAGACAGGAGACAACATGGAGATACAGGAGGCTGGAGTGAGCTGCTACTACATGATCACTCCCATCTGCAGCATGAAGAACAGGCAGTACTGAGACAGGAGGCAGCATGGAGGTACAGGAGAGGCTGGAGTGAGCTGCTACTACATGATCACTCCCATCAGCAGCATGGAGAACAGGCAGTACTGAGACAGGAGGCAGCATGGAGGTACAGGAGAGGCTGGAGTGAGCTGCTACTACTGCATGCTCACTCCCATCAGCAGCATGAAGAACAGGCAGTACTGAGACAGGAGACAGCATGGAGATACAGGAGAGGCTGGAATGAGCTGCTACTACATGATCACTCCCATCAGCAGCATGGAGAACAGGCAGTACTGAGACAGGAGACAGCATGGAGGTACAGGAGAGGCTGGAGTGAGCTGCTACTACATGATCACTCCCATCAGCAGCATGGAGGCAGCATGAAGAACAGGCAGCATGGAGGCAGCATGAAGAACAGGCAGTACTGAGACAGGAGACAGCATGGAGGTACAGGAGAGGCTGGAGTGAGCTGCTACTACATGATCACTCCCATCAGCAGCATGGAGAACAGGCAGTACTGAGACAGGAGGCAGCATGGAGGTACAGGAGAGGCTGGAGTGAGCTGCTACTACTGCATGCTCACTCCCATCAGCAGCATGAAGAACAGGCAGTACTGAGACAGGAGACAGCATGGAGATACAGGAGAGGCTGGAATGAGCTGCTACTACATGATCACTCCCATCAGCAGCATGGAGAACAGGCAGTACTGAGACAGGAGACAGCATGGAGGTACAGGAGAGGCTGGAGTGAGCTGCTACTACATGATCACTCCCATCAGCAGCATGGAGGCAGCATGAAGAACAGGCAGCATGGAGGCAGCATGAAGAACAGGCAGTACTGAGACAGGAGACAGCATGGAGATACAGGAGAGGCTGGAGTGAGCTGCTACTACATGATCACTCCCATCTGCAGCATGAAGAACAGGCAGTACTGAGACAGGAGGCAGCATGGAGGTACAGGAGAGGCTGGAGTGAGCTGCTACTACATGATCACTCCCATCAGCAGCATGGAGAACAGGCAGTACTGAGACAGGAGGCAGCATGGAGGTACAGGAGAGGCTGGAGTGAGCTGCTACTACATGATCACTCCCATCAGCAGCATGGAGAACAGGCAGTACTGAGACAGGAGACAGCATGGAGGTACAGGAGAGGCTGGAGTGAGCTGCTACTACATGATCACTCCCATCAGCAGCATGAAGAACAGGCAGTACTGAGACAGGAGGCAGCATGGAGGTACAGGAGAGGCTGGAGTGAGCTGCTACTACATGATCACTCCCATCAGCAGCATGGAGGCAGCATAGAAGAACAGGCAGTACTGAGACAGGAGACAGCATGGAGATACAGGAGAGGCTGGAGTGAGAGGCAGCATAGCAGAACAGGCAGCATGGAGGCAGCATGAAGAACAGGCAGCATGAAGAACAGGCAGCATGGAGGCAGCATGAAGAACAGGCAGTACTGAGACAGGAGACAGCATGGAGATACAGGAGAGGCTGGAGTGAGCTGTTACTGCTGATGATCACCCCATCTGCAGCATGAAGAACAGGCAGTACTCGAGACAGGGAGGCAGCAGCATGGAGGTACAGAGAGGTTGAGGGAGCTGCTACTACATGATCACTCCCACGCAGCATGGTGCAACAGGCAGCAACTGGAGACAGGAGGCAAGGCATGGGAGGTACAGAGAGGCTGGAGTGAGCTGCTGGATTACTGCATGCTCACCCCATCAGCATGTAGAACAGGCAGTACTGAGACAGGAGGCAGCATGGAGATACAGGAGAGGCTGGAATGAGCTGCTACTACATGATCACTCCCATCAGCAGCATGGAGAACAGGCAGTACTGAGACAGGAGACAGCATGGAGATACAGGAGAGGCTGGAATGAGCTGCTACTATATGATCACTCCCATCAGCAGCATGGAGGCAGCATAGAAGAACAGGCAGCATGGAGGCAGCATGAAGAACAGGCAGTACTGAGACAGGAGACAGCATGGAGATACAGGAGAGGCTGGAGTGAGCTGCTACTACATGATCACTCCCATCAGCAGCATGGAGAACAGGCAGTACTGAGACAGGAGGCAGCATGGAGGTACAGGAGAGGCTGGAGTGAGCTGCTACTACTGCATGCTCACTCCCATCAGCAGCATGAAGAACAGGCAGTACTGAGACAGGAGACAGCATGGAGATACAGGAGAGGCTGGAATGAGCTGCTACTACATGATCACTCCCATCAGCAGCATGGAGAACAGGCAGTACTGAGACAGGAGACAGCATGGAGGTACAGGAGAGGCTGGAGTGAGCTGCTACTACATGATCACTCCCATCAGCAGCATGGAGGCAGCATAGAAGAACAGGCAGTACTGAGACGGGAGACAGCATGGAGATACAGGAGAGGCTGGAGTGAGCTGCTACTACATGATCACTCCCATCAGCAGCATGGAGAACAGGCAGTACTGAGACAGGAGGCAGCATGGAGATATAGGAGAGGCTGGAGTGAGCTGCTACTACATGATCACTCCCATCAGCAGCATGGAGAACAGGCAGTACTGAGACAGGAGGCAGCATGGAGGTACAGGAGAGGCTGGAGTGAGCTGCTACTACATGATCACTCCCATCAGCAGCATGGAGAACAGGCAGTACTGAGACAGGAGACAGCATGGAGGTACAGGAGAGGCTGGAGTGAGCTGCTACTACATGATCACTCCCATCAGCAGCATGAAGAACAGGCAGTACTGAGACAGGAGGCAGCATGGAGGTACAGGAGAGGCTGGAGTGAGCTGCTACTACATGATCACTCCCATCAGCAGCATGGAGGCAGCATAGAAGAACAGGCAGTACTGAGACAGGAGACAGCATGGAGATACAGGAGAGGCTGGAGTGGTTTTGCTACTACACGATCACCCCCATCAGCAGCATGGAGAACAGGCAGTACTGAGGACAGGAGGACAGCATGGAGGTACAGGAGAGGCTGGAGTGAGCTGTTGCTACTACATGATCACTCCCATCAGCAGCATGGAGGCAGCATAGAAGAACAGAGGCAGCATGGAGGTACAGGAGAGGCTGGAGTGAGCTGCTGCTACTGCATGCTCACTCCCATCAGCAGCATGGAGAACAGGCAGTACTGAGACAGGAGACAGCATGGAGGTACAGGAGAGGCTGGAGTGAGCTGCTGCTACTGCATGCTCACTCCCATCAGCAGCATGGAGGCAGCATAGAAGAACAGAGGCAGCATGGAGGTACAGGAGACAGCATGGAGGTACAGGAGAGGCTGGAGTGAGCTGCTGCTGCTGCATGCTCACTCCCATCAGCCTCAGACAGAACTCCAAGCAAGCCACCATCCTGGTCACAAAGGTTGTGGCAGAATTGGGGCTGGTGGCTGCAGGAGCAGCTGGGGGGCCCCGAGCACATCTGCTACCCCCCCCCCACGCGGCGGTGGAACAGAGGCCAGCAAGGAGAGCGAGGACGCCCCAGCGGCAGCCTGTGAGTGACATCGTTAGTTCGGCAGCCCGTGAGCCTGTCAGGAGGCGGCAAGGGGAAGGCTGAGAATGAGGTCAGAAAGCAGGCAGGAGTTGGAGGGCGGCTGGCGCCGTATGTTCGACGCGGCGCCGGTCAGGCAAGACGGCAGGTCAGGATGAGGCCGCACAGTAAGAGCGCCCCCTGCAATAAGGCGGGGGGGCGGGAAAGCACAAAGGACGGCGGAATCCAGCATGACATGATGGCCGCCAGGCAGGAAGAGCGGCAAGAGGCGTCCTGGTGAGTCTGCCCCTGGTGGCATACCTGAGTGACAGGGGGAATGATGCAAGGGCCCAGCAGTGTAAAAGCGGTCCCCCCCCCCCCAATGGGCAGGCGGGGGGGTCCAGGTCGGCGGGACACAGACGGAGGCGGCCCTGGATGGGGCCAGGGTCAGGTCAGAGGCGGATAGTGAAAGCAGCAGACGGAGTCTTCACAGGCACAGCAGAGCAGCTATGGAGGGGAAGGCCAGCAACCAGGATTAATTAAAGGGGCCACAAGTGGATGAGGCGGCCTGGGAGAGGCCAGGTACTGCAAGCAGAGGGCAGACGAGAGGAAATGGACGTAAGGCACAGAGGCAAGCGGGAGCCCCCTGGGGGGTGTTCTCAGGAGCAGGAACACAGGAGGAGCATCAGCAGGTGTGAGTACGGCAGGGAGCAGCGCAACGACAATGACAGGCACAGCAGCAGCGGGAGGTCAGATGAGGGATGGAGAAGCAGGTCGAGGAGTGTTACTTCTACGGGCTTGAGGCTGGACCAGCGTGGACAGGAGTCGGCATCCACCAGATACTCCAGAGCCTCAGCCACAGCGCAGACGGAGGTTCGGGCAGTGAGTCCATAAACACACCACACTTTTTTAAATTGCATAAATCATTTTAGAGTCATGATCAAGGAAAAAAGGGGCTGTCCCCGCAGTGCCGAAGGGTGGGGTCACCAGAGCGCAGTCGGGAGGCCGAAGTAAGGGTGGTGGTGACGGCGTGCCGGGTAAGGGAAGGGGAATACGGTGTACCGGTACCGGGGACATCTGACGGGCAGGAGAACAGTTAGATGTGTGGCAATATTCCAGGCGTGGCACAACAAAATGGGCACGTGTCCTTCGCGGGGACATTGGGGGGCACTTGAAGGTGGAGGATAAGATTTGATAAAGGGGATTTAAAAAAATAAATAAATATATATATATATAAAAAATTCCTGTCTTCTGCTCGAGGAGTTCATTGATTTAAAAGGGGTGGTTCCTAATGATAGTGCAGGAAATGCGCTCTTTCCGGGGGCTGACGGCGCACCCCCAGGAGGTGCTGTGCTGGCTGGACAGAAGAAAGGTCAGTACAACTGGGGACCGTCGGGTAGGCTTCGATATGGGTGTTCCGGAGGCGGTGGGAGTCACGGTGTCAACTGACGCGTCAAAAAAGGAAAACCTAAGGCAGGAAGGGTACTCGGCAGGGCTTCAGCCCCGCGGTTGCGGCTCGGAGCGGCACCAGTGATGATCAGTGCATTGCTGCTGTGGCTAAGGCAGTAAGCCTCCCATGAATGCGCTAGTTTTATGGCTGAGATTGTTGAGGGGGTTTACGCTATTCCATTCAAAGTCGAGGGACCAGGAAAAGTGGTGGGCGAATATCAAGTCCATGGGGGAACTTCCGCGCCATTAGCGGACCTGTGGGTGTCTCCATGGGGGGGTGGTCCCCTAGAAATGGGCGGGCAAATTCTGTCCAATACAAAACTTATCGCACCCAAAAGGGGCATCGGTAAATGAGGACATCGCCGCGGAACTGTTCTGTATCGTTGGCATCATTCGGCCTTGCCGTCGAGTTGGTTTGGGGGAACAGGACGCGTTCGATTATTGGCGACCCTTCCATCTTTTGGGTTGCATGTTTGCAGGTTCCTATTGGTAACCTCTACTTGCCAAGGGGCAGTTCCATTCATGTTCCTACTCGGGAAGTTGGATCCGTCTGGGAGTGGGAGGTGAAAAAGGAATCAGAAAGGGGTTCCTTAGTACATTATCTGTAAGATAGCTTGCTGTGTGGGCTCGGCTGGGCCGGGCCGTTGTAGACATACCTTATGGTCACGGGAATCCTACCGCACGTCTTTGCTTGGACTGGAAATTGTTTCGGTGGTAGGTGAGTGTCGATTTCCTGGGGTTCAGTTGACTGCACTTTGGGAGTTCAGGCTGAAGGTTCGCAGGTCCAAGAAGGTCACTGAGAAATCGCAGTTGTTCATAAGGCAGTTTCAAGTTGCATGTCGGGTTAGTCGCGAGGACTGGGTCGGTAGCCATTTCATGGCGAAGGCTACTTGTGGAGCCTTTGCGGGTGGTATCGAGTTGTTCACAGATACCTCTGGGAACATAGATTCCGGGGCATACCTGGAAGGCAGGTGGTGCGCAGAGCGGTGGTGGGAGGCATGAAAGGTAAGTCCTCTTATTTGACGTTGGCATCTTTTGAGTTATTTCAATTGGGAGTGGCTGTGGCTCTAAAAGGTGAAGGATTAAGGGATGAAAAGTCATAATTCACGCACAATACGGCGGGGTTCATGTGGTTTACCATCCAGCCGGGTCCTCGGTTCAGGAGGTACGCCGATGGCGGCGATTCGTATCACTGTTCAGGTATCGGGTGCAGGCACGCCACGTGCCTGGTTGGCGGAAGGTAGGGGCTGGTTACTTGGCTCGCGCACAAGGGGACAAGCTGCGAATGGCGGCCCCAGGGGGCGCGGGAGGAGGGACTGTCCAGTCTGGAGGAAATGTGGCAGCTCGAGACGCCATGCTTGGAGGATCGATACAGAATCCTATCGCACCGGGCAGAGGGACTGCCTATGTGAACGCTTGAGATATGTGGGACAAGGCGGTTGGTTTCACTGTGGGGGCCCAGTCAAAGGAGGGGCGAAGGGATACCTTGCTGTGGTTCCTAAGCCGTTTGTTTGTTCAGCGTTAGCTCCATCAGCAATGGACAGGAGCATGGTGGCATTGTCGTTAGGGTTTAAACTGACTGATTGGGAGGAAGTGACGGAACGTTGTCACGTCCTTCAGGCATCGCGGGTCTTACGGAGAGATATGAAATATGTCGGTGCCGGGCGGCGGGTTTCCTTGGGTAACGCAACGCCTGGTGGTGTATTACCCTACTTTTGCAGTGAGTTTGCTTTTGGTGGCCTTCTCGGAGGCTTGGGGCATTTTGAATTGGGGAACTGGTGAGTGCCTTCGGGCAGGTGTTGGGGAGTTCTACACTTGGTTGTCGAACCTTAGTCGGTTAAGGTAACGATTCAGTAGGGTTGTTCAAGAACGAATGTGTCTGGTAAAGGAGGTTTGGCAAAGCTATATTCCCTGCCGGGGTCAGGGGTACGCCTGGTGTTAAGCGCATCATGCTACTTGGAGCTTTGCCCGGACATCCCGGGTGGCTTACTGGTAAAAGGGGACAGATCGGTGCTGTCACGATTCAATTCCCACAGGTGTTTGTTCGAAGGGGTTTGACAATGTTGGGTTTGGATCCCGGGCACTTTGGGACCCATTCTTCCCAGGTGATGGCGGTAACAGAGGCACCCCACCTGGTTTTAAGTGAGGACCTAGGGAAACGTTTAGGCAGGTGGGAGTCAGTACGGTTTAAGTCCTGTTTCAGGCCAGTCTATTTGGTTTAATGGCTATGGACGTATGGGTTTGTGTTTGGGGCTATGCCGTGTCGCTAATTACTTTCGTTTCAGGTTTGGTGACATGGTTGGTGGGTCATTCTTATATCTAAGGGGCACAGATGGGAGCTGCATTTCAGTTCAAACGTAACTGGGCTTTCCTTTGAAATTGGTGGAGCAGGAGTGGTTTTGTTTTTCAGGGATTTTGGTGGCAAGACATTAGGGGAGAAATTTTTCCGGGAGGTAACAAAGGGTACTTTCCAGGACATTCTGGATATTGGCATGGTCCTGGAAAGGGAATTGATCAGGTGGAGGCAGAGGGAGGTGGACCAGCTATGGGAGCTGGCCACGGGTGTGGTGGTGGTGCGGTCCGAGATGGTTCCTTGGTTACATTGGAGACATACTACGTACCCGGCCGTGGTAGCTCGGTGTCGAGGACGACTTAATAAAAAATTTATGGCGGTATTTATCAGATGTGGGGGCGGTGTAACAGTGAGACACAACGAATTGGGAGGAAAGCTCCCTGGGTACTCCAGGTGGGATGGGGTACATTTTCGGATGTAAGGTGTAATCTGTTTAAATTGGGCCTTCAGGAAGGCATTCAACAGGCCTTATTCCGGTGTGGTGGGGGTCGCTCAGGAGCTTTAGGTGTCAAGTCCTGAGCTGTGGCGGGGAATGGCCTGGTTAAATCGGAGGGTAGATGGAGGAGAAAGTGGGCATCCTGAGGTTTAGTGTGGATTGGGCAGTGTTGCACGTGGTTGGTAGGTTCGAGCCCGTCGGTGGCTCCGAACATGGGGGTGTGGTGGTGTCTTGGTACACCCTACACTGGAACTGGTGGGTAGCGGTGTCTTGGTACACCCCTACAATGGATATGGTGGGTAGCGGTGTCTTGGTACACCCCTACAATGGATATGGTGGGTAGCGGTGTCTCGGTACTCCCCTACAATTTAACCTGGTGGAAATGTGGTCAAATTGGACGGCCAGTTTCTGTGTTAACATGTTATTTATATTGTTATCTATTGTTATTATTGTGGGGTCATTGCTAGGGTTATGTTATGTATATGGGGGAGGTTAACATTATTAAGATTTGTTGGCAATGACCCCATTTGTTATTCCTTAATTATTTATTAATAATTTAATAAAGCTGTGGACAAATTATTTCCAACAGTATAACCTGTGTCTGTGTTTTAATGGGGGTTTGGGTAAGGTTAGCGCATATGCCGGCAAATCCGACTGTGCGCCTGTCATGTAGCCCATGGATCAGCGCAGCTAAGAGGAATAGGCCTTGACAGAGCCAGGAGGTAGGCATAGCAGCCACAGGAATTTAGTGACAGCTAGCATGCTGGGTAGGGCGGAGCCATAAGGGGAGTATTTATACCGGCCATTATATGAAGTGGCCATTTTAACTGAACCTAAGCTTACCTGTCAGTTGTCCCTCCCACCCTCCCTGTATTTGGTTAGGTTAGTTGATTTCCCGTTTTTTCACAGCGGCGGGGAATGGCCTGGTTAAATCGGAGGGTAGATGGAGGAGAAAGTGGGCATCCTGAGGTTTAGTGTGGATTGGGCAGTGTTGCACGTGGTTGGTAGGTTCGAGCCCGTCGGTGGCTCCGAACCTGGGGGTGTGGAACTGGTGGGTAGCGGTGTCTTGGTACACCCCTACAATGGATATGGTGGGTAGCGGTGTCTTGGTACACCCCTACAATGGATATGGTGGGTAGCGGTGTCTCGGTACACCCCTACAATTTAACCTGGTGGAAATGTGGTCAAATTGGGAGGCCAGTTTCTGTGTTAACATGTTATTTATATTGTTATCTATTGTTATTATTGTGGGGTCATTGCTAGGGGTATGTTATGTATATGGGGGAGGTTAACATTATTAAGATTTGTTGGCAATGACCCCATTTGTTATTCCTTAATTATTTATTAATAATTTAATAAAGCTGTGGACAAATTATTTCCAACAGTATAACCTATGTCCGTGTTTTAATGGGGGTTGGGGTAAGGTTAGCGCATATGCCGGCAAATCCGACTGTGCGCCTGTCAAGTGTAACCCTGTAATATTTGGGGGTACAGCAGTGTAACTATCATCACCCATGGCCAGACTTTATAAAGGAATATTTCAATATATGAAGTCCCAGCTGTCATGTTCAGACCTAACATAAAATGCAGGAATCTAGGCCAGAGCCATGTGTCAGCCTGAGTTATTCATTGACAAACCGGTTTTACACAAACACATTGTAAGGATGAGAGCAGGAAGACACGGGCAGTGTGATCACATCAACTTTCTGTTCATATTTACCTACTACGCTTAGCACTACATAATTATCACCTGGAAGGTAAGAATTTTTCCATATATCTACACAATGGGACACTCCAGGCTTAGGTGACTGTTATACTGGGTGGGTTTATATTATTAAAGGGACACTCCAGGCTCTCACACACGTTAGATGCACTGTGTAGGTTAGGTTACAGTTAGTTATACTGGGTGGGTTTATATTATTAAAGGGACACTCCAGGTTCCCACACACCTTAGATGTACTGTGTAGGTTAGGTTACAGTTATACTGGGTGGGTTTATATTATTAAAGGGACACTCCAGGCTCCCACACACGTTAGGTGCACTGTGTAGGTTAGGTAACAGTTAGTTATACTGGGTGGCTTTATATTATTAAAGGGACACTCCAGGCTCCCACACACGTTAGATGCACTGTGTAGGTTAGGTTACAGTTAGTTATAGCAAATTGCGGGTTTATACAAAGGGACACTCCAGGCTCACACTGCTAGATGCACTGTAGGTTAGGTTGGCGCTAGTTATACTGGGTGGGTTTATATATTAAAGAGACACTCCAGGCCCCACACACGCTATAGGGGTGCACCGTGGCTGTTAGGTTACAGTTAGTTATACTGTGGGTTTATATTATTAAAGGGACACTCCAGGCTCCCACACACGTTAGGTGCACTGTGTAGGTTAGGTTACAGTTAGTTATACTGTGGGTTTATATTATTAAAGGGACACTCCAGGCTCCCACACACGTTAGGTGCACTGTGTAGGTTAGGTTACAGTTAGTTATACTGGGTGGGTTTATATTATTAAAGGGACACTCCAGGCTCCCACACACGTTAGATGCACCGTGTAGGTTAGGTTACAGTTAGTTATACTGGGTGGGTTTATATTATTAAAGGGACACTCCAGGCTCCCACACACGTTAGATGCACCGTGTAGGTTAGGTTACAGTTAGTTATACTGGGTGGGTTTATATTATTAAAGGGACACTCCAGGCTCCCACACACGTTAGATGCACTGTGTAGGTTAGGTTACAGTTAGTTATACTGGGTGGGTTTATATTATTAAGGGGACACTCCAGGCTCCCACACACGTTAGCTGCACTGTGTAGGTTAGGTTACAGTTAGTTATACCGTGGAATATATTATTGTGCTGGACACTCCAGGCTCTCACATCGCTAGATGCACCGTGGTGGGTTAGGTTACAGCTAGTTATACTGGGTGGGTTTATATTATTAAAGAGACACCCAGGCTCCTCACACGTGCTAGGATGCACTGTAGGTTAGGGGTTACAAAGTTAGTTATACTGGTGGGCTTATATTATTAAAAAGCGACAACGCAGGCTCCCGGCCAAATGCGATGCACTGTGTAGGTTAGGGTACAGTTAGATATACTAGGTGGGTTTATATTATTAAAGGGACACTCCAGGCTCCCACACACGTTAGATGCACTGTGTAGGTTAGGTTACAGTTAGTTATACTGTGTGGGTTTATATTATTAAAGGGACACTCCAGGCTCCCACACACGTTAGATGCACTGTGTAGGTTAGGTTACAGTTAGTTATACTGGGCGGGTTTATATTATTAAAGAGACACTCCAGGCTCCCACACACGTTAGGTGCACTGTGTAGGTTAGGTTACAGTTAGTTATACTGGGTGGGTTTATATTATTAAAGGGACACTCCAGGTGCACTGTGTAGGTTAGGTTACAGTTATACTGGGTGGGTTTATATTATAAAAGGGACACTCCAGGCTCCCACACACATTATATGCACTGTGTAGGTTAGGTTACAGTTAGTTATACTGGGTGGGTTTATATTATTAAAGGGACACTCCAGGCTCCCACACACGTTAGATGCACTGTGTAGGTTAGGGTACAGTTATACTGGGTGGGTTTATATTAATAAAGGGACACTCCAGGCTCCCACACACGTTAGATGCACTGTGTAGGTTAGGTTACAGTTAGTTATACTGGGTGGGTTTATATTATTAAAGGACACTCCAGGCTCCCACACACGTTAGATGCACTGTGTAGGTTAGGTTACAGTTAGTTATACTGGGTGGGTTTATATTATTAAAGGGACACTCCAGGCTCCCACACACATTAGATGCTCTGTGTAGGTTAGGTTACAGTTAGTTATACTGGGTAGGTTTATATTATTAAAGGGACACTCCAGGCTCCCACACACGTTAGATGCACTGTGTAGGTTAGGTTACAGTTAGTTATACTGGGTAGGTTTATATTATTAAAGGGACAATCCAGGCTCCCACACATTAGGTGCACTGTGTAGGTTAGGTTACAGTTAGTTATACTGGGTGGGTTTATATTATTAAAGGGACACTCCAGGCTCCCACACACGTTAGATACACTGTGTAGGTTAGGTTACAGTTAGTTATACTGGGTGGGTTTATATTATTAAAGGGACACTCCAGGCTCCGACACACGTTAGGTGCACTGTGTAGGTTAGGTTACAGTTAGTTATACTGGGTGGGTTTATATTATTAAAGGGACACTCCAGGCTCCCACACACGTTAGGTGCACTGTGTAGGTTAGGTTACAGTTAGTTATAGTGGGTGGGTTTATATTATTAAAGGGACACTCCAGGCTCCCACACACGTTAGATGCACTGTGTAGGTTAGGTTACAGTTAGTTATACTTGGTGGGTTTATATTATTAAAGGGACACTCCAGGCTCCCACACACGTTAGATGCACTGTGTGGGTTAGGTTACAGTTAGTTATGCTGGTGGGTTTATATTATTAAAGGGACACTCCAGGCTCCCACACACATTAGGTGCACTGTGTAGGTTAGATTACAGTTAGTTATACTGGGTGGGTTTATATTATTAAAGGGACACTCCAGGCTCCCACAAACATTAGATGCACTGTGTAGGTTAGGTTACAGTTAGTTATACTGGGTGGGTTTATATTAATAAAGGGACACTCCAGGCTCCCACACACGTTAGGTGCACTGTGTAGGTTAGATTACAGTTAGTTATACTGGGTGGGTTTATATTATTAAAGGGACACTCCAGGCTCCCACAAACATTAGGTGCACTGTGTAGGTTAGGTTACAGTTAGTTATACTGGGTGGGTTTATATTAATAAAGGGACACTCCAGGCTCCCACACACGTTAGGTGCACTGTGTAGGTTAGGTTACAGTTATACTGGGTGGGTTTATATTATTAAAGGGATACTCCAGGCTCCCATACAAGTTAGGTGCACTGTGTAGGTTAGGTTACAGTTAGTTATACTGGGTGGGTCTATATTATTAAACGGACACGTCAGGCATCTCACACAAGTTGAGTGAACTGTGAAAGTTAGGTGACAGTTTTATTTTGAAGATATAAAAAAGTAAAATGTGTGCAAATATTTTTAGACAACAATGCATAGTAATCTTTGTAGGTAATTATCCAGTGTTGGTTTTCTTTCTTGTGTGTAAAGGTCCAAAGAAAATAATAAAAATTGACATATTCTTCCCTATCTGTTATCTCAGGAACTGCATTGGACAGAACTTCGCTATGAATGAAATGAAAGTGTCTGTGGCATTAACCTTGAACCGTTTCGAGCTTTTACCAGATCTATCTAACCCGCCTCTGATAGTGCCCCAGCTTGTTCTACGCTCCAAAAATGGAATCCATGTGTATCTGAAAAAAGCAAGCCAAAAATGAGGCAGTAGCCGGTGCACACTCACGGACTCCCCACTACCTCAGGCCTAATAAATTCTTTAAAGTATTATTACTGCCATATAGCAACACGTTTGTCAATAATAGAATGGGCCCTCTTATATTTCAGACTCCACTCGTGGGGATTAGTAGTTTATATTTGACAATGACATGCAATTGCAGTACAAATAAAAAGAAGAGGATAAGAAGGCTTATAACGCTAGTTAAATAAAAGTGTAAAAAGACACACTGTTAAAACGTAATAAAAAAGATGGCTTAGGGTATGTTGAACAATATGGCAAATAAATACTATTGTCCTCTAGAGTAGTCAGAAGTTAGAACAACTGAATGGAAACGCAGGATTGAGTACTGCCAGTTGTAAAATGAGGTTCCATGCGTTAAAAAAAAAACTGTTGTAAATTAAAACTCTACCATCCCAAAATATTTTCAGATAAAGGGTTCATCAGAGCCAGTTAAAACCAGTCTAAGATAGAATTTGTTATTATTACAGTGTATAGATTGGCATCCTGTCAATCAGATGCCGCTGGTAGTACATTGAATGTGTTATTGACATATTTTTGGTCCTGATGGCTTAGGTTGTCAGCCGGGAGTGGTCCAAAAAATGGACTCCTCTGCTAATTGGTCACTTTGAGTAAACATAATCTCTTAACCGCTTACTCTTTTCATTTGTATTTAAATCTTTCGAGTTATCATCTTCCTAATGGTAGCACCCATAATGCATCAGGAGAGCATAGAAGATCTTTTACATAACTGTAAATGGGGTTATGCCAATGTGCATAGCAGAAATGTAAGAAATCAAAACAGCCAACTGGATAGCCAGAAAATATAGATGTACATCCCAGTGTAGGTCCAGTCTGGACTGAATTCTGACTGTTGGAAGCTTTGCAAAAGTATGAGGAATGAACTACTACGATGAAAAAATAATAAACTTTAAAATTTTAAGTTGACTGGATTGTTAAATATATAACCTTTTCAAAATACGCACCACGTATAATTACAAAGATCACATGACTATGAACAGTCATGGGATCAATTGTTTCAAACTGCTTGTCACAGTAACAAGTAAACAAACTGCTCATTTAAAAACAGATAATGGGAATCGAGAAATCAAATTCATCACAAATGATTATTTAAGGTATTATATACACTTGTATAGACAGACTTAGCGAGAGAAAAATCTGACACCAAGTATGTATTGGTTGTAGGATAATTATGGCATAACTGAACCAAAATAAAGATGCAGAGAAAGATTAGAGTAGGCTTGCAAAAAAACAAGACCAATTACCCTTTGTTTGAATTAACTGAACAGGTATTAGGCTAAGTGCCTTGATTAAAAAACCCAAACTTTATTAAATCCCTTAATCACACAGAAAAAAATATGTAAATGTAGTGAATGTGTAAAATAAAATGTGATTTAAAAACAAAAAACTAAAGTAAATATACTTGTTTAAAATAGGACCAAGTGTCAGAACTTCAATGGTAATTTGAAATTGAACACAATTGTAACTAATTTAGGAATTGCTGTGTTTAATTCGCCCCATGTATCGGTTATAGCCATTACTAATGACTCTATCCACCCTCCTACTTACAAGTGCCCTTTTGAGCAATAAGACTAAGAGATATATATTTATATTTAATTTACTCTTTATACCTCAGATCAAATTGATATCTCTTATTATACTGCCATTCATGGATAACCATTCCAATCCACCCTCCTAATTAGACACAGCTCAGTACCTTTGATTACTGCAACTCTTTGCAACACTGTATTGGGTCTATTAGCTAGTGTATCTCCATTTCAAGTGAGTGTGTAATCTTGGAATTACACATTGAAGTTCTGACAGTTGGTCCTATTTTAAACAAGTATATTTACTTAACTTTTTCATTTTTAAGCACATTTTTTGACACTTTCACTACATTTATTTTTTTTGTGTGTGTGATTTCTTTACCAGTATAGGGATTTAATAAAGTTTATGATTTTTAATCAAGGCACTTAGCCTAATACCTGTTTAGTTAATTGAAACAAGGGTAATAGGATTAGTATTGGTCTTGATTTTTGCAAGCCTACTCTAATCTTTCTCTGCATATTATGTACACTTAATCATTGAAATATTATAGGAAACTTATCTATTTGAAAGAAAATGACACGAGGTACTGTAACATGTATGCACTATGGTGCAGACTATGGTTTCTAGAGAATTTTGCTATTATTTTTTTAAATAGCTGATGTCAGTACAATGTAAGCCTAAAGCAATCATTCAGCAACATTAAGAGGTCTTAAAGCAACAAGCCCTCTCTTAAATTAAAGTAACCAAGTACAGATATATATATATATATCACAAAACAGACTAAGTATATAGCATGATTTGAGTTAGTAAGCAGAAAGGCCAGATCGACTTAGATGGACTCCAGTTAGTAGTATTCACTCAATTCTATAGAGCCCAATCCGTACCCCATGTTCTTTAAAGTGCCTAGAGGGCGTCATTCCAAACTAACAAGAAAATATACATAGAATTCATAAAAGACATGTAAATCTTATTCCCTATTCAATATGTTTTGGCTGCAAGCAATCAAGAATATGAATCTAATATGTCTCATTTACCAAAAGCATTCTAGTTCTGTTCTCACTTCTACGTCACAGGGGAACATAATCTATTTTTGGATGTTGCAGTTGGGCAGGGCCGGACTGGCCCACCGGGATACCAGGAAATTTCCCAGTGGGCCGCGGCACCTGGGGGCTGGGCTGACAGCCCCATTCAGTACTGATCAGGCTTCTGTGATCCCGGCCGGCCATGTGCAAGGTGTGCACAGCTCACACATGGCCGGCCGGGATCATTAAAAAAAAATATATATTTTTTTTAAAAATAATATTGAGGCGGGGGCGGAGCTTTTTATGCGAGGAGGTGGGGCTTAGCGTGCGGCGGGGGCGGGGCTTAGCGTGCGGCGGGGGCCATGGCTAATGCAGCATGGGAAGCAGGAAAGAGTCCCTGCTTCCCCAACAACCAGCCTCCAGGAGCTCCAAGCAGGAGGTAAGAAGGAGGTCAGTGTGTCTGTGTGTGACTATCTGTGTGTGTGTGTCTGTCTGCCTGTGTGTGTGTGACTGTCTGTGACACTGTGTGTGTGTGTGACTGCCTGTGTGACTGTGTGTGTATGTGTGACTGTGTGTGTGTGTGACTGCCTGTGTGACTGTGTGTGTGTGTGACTGCCTGTGTGACTGTGTGTGTATGTGTGACTGTGTGTGTGTGTGTGTGTGTGTGACTGTCTGTGTGTGTGTCTGACTATCTGCCTGTGTGTGTGTGACTCTCTGTGTGTGTGTCTGACTGTCTGCCTGTGTGTGACTGCCTGTGTGTGTGTGTGTGTGACTGCCTGTGTGTGACTGTCTGTGTGTGTGTGTGTGTGACTGTCGGTGTAAATGTGTGTGTTTGACTGCCTGTGTGTGTGTGACTGTCTGCCTGTGTGTGTGACTGTCTGCCTGTGTGTAACTGTGTGTGTGTGACTGCCTGTGTGTGTGTGTGACTGTCTGCCTGTGTGTAACTGTGTGTGTGTGACTGTCTGCCTGTGTATGTGTGTGGCTGTCTGCCTGTCTCTGTATGTGTGGATGTTTACCTCGGTGTCAGTGACTGTCTGCCTCTGTGTGTATGGATGTCTTTGTGTGTGTGTGCATCTGCTAGTGAGTGAGCGAGCAAGCTTCTGTGTGTGTGTGTGCGCGCATCTGCTAGTGAGGGAGCCTCTGTGTGTGTGTGTGCGCCTGCTAGTGAGTTTGTGTGTGTGTGTGCCTGCTAGTGAGTGAGCTTGTATGTGTATCAGTGAGCTTGTTTGTAGGGATCATGTGTGTGTACGTGTTAGTGAGCTTGTCTGTAAGGAGCATGGTTGTGTCGGAGCCTGTCTGTGGTGAGCATGTGTGTACAGTGAGCTTGTCTGTAGTAAGCATGAGTGTGATGGTGAACTTGTCTGTAGTGACCATGTGTGTGTCAGTCAGCTTGTCTGTAGTGAGCATGTGTGTGTCAGTGAGCTTGTCTGTTGTGAATCTGTGTGTTAGTGAGCTCTTCTGTAGGGCTCATGTGTGTGTCAATGGGCTTGTCTGTAGGGAGAGTGTGTGCGCATCAGTGAGCTTGTCTGTAGTGAGCGTGTGTGTGTGACAGTGAGTCTGTCTGTATTAAGCTTGTGTGTGTATCATATTTTGTCTGTACTAAATTTGTGTGTGTGCCAGTAACCTTGTCTGTGTTTGTCATTGAGATTGTCTGCCAATGAGCCTATTTGTGTGCATCAGTAAGATTGTCTGTGTCTGTGTGTGAGTATGCTTTACTGTATAATTTAATTACCCTGAAAGAAGAAATGTATCAATAATATATATACATATATATATATATATATATATATATATATATATATATATTTGCTCTTGTACCTTGCACTCCGGCTTCAAAGTTGTGTGACCGGGTGCATCACCAGGGCTCCAGCATCCAGGCAATTGAAATAGTTGGCTGCACTCTCGGATTTCCTTAAAACATAACTTTTATTGAAATATTTAAGAGAATATCAATGTTTCAGTCCCTCTTGTGGACTTTCATCATGATCCTGATAAAAGTCCACAAGAGGGACTGAAACGTTGATCTTAAATATTTCAATAAAAGTTCAGTTTTAAGGAAATCCGAGAGTGCAGCCAACTATTTTAATTGCATATATATATAAAAAACACCCTACATAGCACAATGACTTATGGGGCTGGCAGATATCTTTTTCCAGGGCTGCTTCGTATCCCCAGTCCGGCCCTGCAGTTGGGAAATTATATGATTTGCAATAATGAAATGTTAAAGAAAGGATATTTCCATGGGTCTAGTCCTGATTGTTGATTTATGTTTTGCAAAGAGGTCTTTCACCCTCATGGTAGCCTTTCCTATATAAATTAAGTTACACATACATTTTAGTATTTTAGTATTTTAGTGGTATCACATATAATATTCTTATGGAATGACAGAATGTATTGCCTTTTGTAACTGACCTATCTGAACAGCAGTTTAGGCAATGGAAAGTGCCAAAAGTAGTGGCAGTCAGGAGCTTCTGAGTTTCAATGGCCAACATGTTACAGTTTCTTTTAAAAGAACATGTAGTAGGACAGTATCCCTGTTGACCACTTCTGTAAAATCCCCCAATTCTTTGTCATGATATCCCCCCAGCTCCAGTGGTTGTATTGACTCACAAACTGGACTCTACGTAGTATAGGACTCCTTCCAGTTCTTTGTTGACATTTGGATTTCCTGACAATGGACAGTGCAACCTCCCTCTCTACAAGCAAGAGATCCATAGAATATCATCCCCTATTCACAAATATAGAGACCATCTCACCCAATCTCCCTGTACGGCCTTTTCATTAGATACATTTCCAACCACTCTGGTCATCTGGCTACAGGGTAAAGAATAGTAAGTACTAAGACGATGGATGCCTTTATAATGTAGGAAAGTGTTTCTGTCAGTCAGTTCAGTGTCCTGACCTTCAAGTCCAAAAAACAAACTTCTTTAGTACTCCAGTTCTGTTGTGCCTAATCATTAAATTCATGAAGCCAATTACCTAATAAGGTTTATAGCGATATTGGTGGGCACACAACCCAGTTCGGGATGAGTACCTTGGGATATAGGAAAAAGAAACCACACAGAGACCAAGTTGCAGATAAGAATTCACACCACACTTTATTGTCCACAAGGGGACCCAATACAGAGTAAGCTTAACTCTCATCAAGTAGTTGCATGCATTCACTTCAAAACAGCTTAGTATCTAGATATATCAGCTTAAGGATACATCACCGTTAGAGGGGCTTGGTTGTTTCCTCTGCACATGACTGGGGGAACTCTGGCACTCGGCTTGGAGGGACCCTCTCTAGGAACAGCAGAGACCAGCAACACGCGTCTGCATTACAGGTGGGTAGTTCTCCAAGTGAGTGCCAAGTTTCTCCGTCTTTTATACCTTTTACCAAATTTGTATCTTTTCCAAGATTTCTTATCAGTGCAGCCCAGCATGTATCTTGTCATGCGCATTAAGTAATCAGTATGGTTGATCAGGCCAGTCACATGCAGTATCATATTCTATCTATGTCCCTACTCTTATCTTTCTACACATTGTTGGCACCAAATCCCTCTTTTCAGCACGTGGGCCTTTTTGGATATTGGCCAGATACGCTATGGAATATTTTATGCAATGTTATCTTAGTTGAATTTCTTAGTGCGACACAGTTTAAGCCAAGTTCCATCTTAACTATCTATAATAGATGAATTTGCTCATTAGTGATCAATCAATCATGCCTAATTAGTTAATTGGATTTTATCACAATTATCACAAGTTCACAGTAAATTTATTAGTATTATCACATCAATTTATGTCATTAAATATAGTCTGTAACTCCTATAGGTGCTCTTAGAGATACCAAATATAACGTCAATAAAATTTGGAATTTATTTTTAATTCACATTTAATTCACAACAATTTACACTTTAAAGTAAATATCCCTGAAAGGTTATGAAAAATGATGTGTTCAAAGTGAGAGATACATTGAGAGATAGCAGCTGGTATAGACTACACATACAAAATCGCTGCTCCGCACAATGTATTGTACATGAGTTGCAGGACAGGTATCTGGTATCTATAGCTCCTTTCTCATAATTCTAAAGACAGATCCGACATGATCAGATTCATAATGAAGGAACCGGGAGTGAATTCTGGAAACACACGGTTTAACTAAACAGAGTGTTTTGGTCAACTTAAAACTGAATTAAAGCCAAAATAGCTGAAGTAGTAAAATGAGTCAAAATTCAGCTCTTTTTCCTGCTTTACTCTTTTTTTTTTTTTTTTATTGATCTTAATTCATTGCAGCTTCGTAGTTTGTCTTACAAT